TATTCCGCAGTGACCAAGGTGGTGAGTTCTGTAGCAATAAGTTCGAGAGATTTTTTCAGGAAGAAGGTATTATACACCAGAAGACGAACGCTTATACTCCTGAACAAAATGGACTTTCAGAAAGACACAATCGAACATTGGTTGAAAAAGCAAGATGTTTACTGTATGATGCAGGTCTACCAAAAAGATTTTGGGCAGAGGCAGTAAATACCGCTAACTATCTACGGAATAGATGCATAGCCAGTGGACTAAATGGAAAAACACCCTTTGAGAAGTGGACAGGGAAGAAACCGGATGTTTCAGGTCTAAGAATCTTTGGCAGTACAGTAATGGCTCATATTCCTAAAGAGAAGCGTCTTAAATTTGACAAAAAAGCTTGTAAACATATTTTAGTTGGTTTTTCAGATCATATCAAGGGTTATAGGATCTACAACCCAGACACTGATGATGTAACAACAAGCAGAGATGTTATTATACATGAAAACCTGAAAACCAATAAAATGAATGTTAGCTATGGCAGTGAAGTAACAGAGGAGTCAGTTGAAGTGGGGGAAAATAAGCAAAATACACAGGTTAGTGAAAACAGCTTACATAGTTCACTTGACAGTCTATATCAACAGTCAGAAGAACAATCTTCAGTTCATATGGACTCTACAGACAGTGACTATGAACCAGATGTGCCAGACACGACTTTGTCTGATCCAGAAGCAGCAAGACGATCTCAGAGGCCAAGGCGAGAAAAGCAGTTCACTGATTATGTTACGTATCTAACTACTGCTGAGCAAAATGAAAGTATTGTTCCCGAAGAAGTTCTAGTGACAGATGATACTCCTGTGAGTGTTCTAGAAGCCATGTCGAGGCCAGATCATGCAGAATGGAAGCGAGCTATTGAAGAGGAACTAGCTTCTTTTGAAGAAAACAACGCTTGGGAAATTGTGGACAAGCCAAAGGACGCCACAATAGTGAAGTGTAAGTGGGTGTTCAAAAAGAAGTGTGATAGTGAAGGTGATGTTAGATATAGAGCTCGTTTGGTAGCTAAAGGTTTTTCTCAGAAACCAGGGGTGGACTACAATGAAACTTTTTCTCCTGTAGTGAGACATTCTAGTTTAAGGTTATTATTTGCATTGTCTTTAAAGTTAGACTTAGAAATAACACATTTAGATGTAAAAACAGCTTTTTTGAATGGTTATTTACAGGAAATAGTCTACATGGAACAACCAGAATGTTTTGTAACTAAGGGTAATGAGAGTAAAGTGTGTAAACTGAATAGAGCCATATATGGTTTGAAGCAATCATCAAGAGCTTGGAATCTTAGGGTTAATGAAGTTTTATTAAAATTAAATTTTAAAAGGTCAATATTTGAACCCTGTATTTATACAAAAAAGGATAACAATCTCTTGACAATAATTGCTCTTTATGTTGACGATTTTTTAATTTTTTCTAATGATTGTAAAAACAGTAAAATTTTAAAAGAATGTTTAAGTTCTGAATTTAAAATTAAAGATTTGGGTCAAGTTAAACAATTTTTGGGTATGACTATTTGTAAAAAAAAGGATTGTTTAATGTTAAGTCAAGAAAATTATGTTAATCAGGTTCTTAAAAGATTTAATATGCTAGATTGTAAAAGTGTTACTACTCCAATGGAAAGTTTTGATTTTAATGAAAATAATTGTGATACAAATGTTAATAATTGTCAATATCAAAAACTAATAGGTAGTTTAATGTATTTAGCAGTATTAACACGTCCAGACATATCGTTTAGTGTTAGTTTTCTTAGTAAATTTAACAATTGTAATAACAGTTATCATTGGAAATGTGCAAAAAGAGTACTGAGATATTTGAAAGGAACAAAAAATTATGTAATTAAATTTACTAAGGATGATATAAATTTGCTAGGATATGTTGATGCTGATTGGGGATCAGATAAAGCTGATAGAAAGTCTTATACTGGATATATTTTTAAGCTTTCAGGTGGCCCCATATCATGGAAAAGTTCGAAGCAGAAAACTGTAGCCTTATCCAGCACGGAGGCAGAATATATGGCACTCAGTGATGCTTCTAAAGAGGCCATATATTTACGCAATTTAGTTTACGAGCTGACTGATAAATTGGATAGTGTAACAATTTTTAATGATAATCAGAGTGCCATTAAGTTATCAATGAATCCAATTTTTCATGAACGCTCTAAACATATAGATATCAGGTATCATTTTATAAGAGAAACAGTTGATAAAAACACTATTCAGTTAAAATATTTAGAAACAGAAAATATGATAGCTGATATATTAACAAAAAGTGTTGGAGGTACAAAACATATGTATTTTGTAAAGGGGTTAGGTTTAGAAAAAGGTTAATTATTTTTATATTTTTGATAAGTGGGGGTGTTGGAATATTGTATCAAAAATTTAAATTTACCGGCACCCTAGCGGAAGTAGATGAGAATGTCATATGGGAACTGTGTATGGGAATTATGGGTAATAAAAAATAGTCTGAAATAAAAGATGGTGTGTGTTGTATCGAGTACAAAATAGGTCGTTTTGGTGTTTTATTTATCCTAAAATCTAATAAGAATGATACATTAGATATATGTCAACTTTTGACATTTACACATACGGTATATTTGAAATTGTAACATGCAGTTCATCAGGGCCTATTTTACCATAAGGCCCATAAGGCCCGGTGGTCTGGGGGGCCCGTTAAAGGTTGTAAAATATTCATAATTTCAAATGTAAATTTTTAGCAGAGAAAAAAAACAGTTACCTCTGATAAGGAAAATAGAATAATTAAATAAAATAAGGTTTAGATTGATATAATTAATGCATTTTTTAAAATTAATAAAAAAATAAAAATAAAAATAATTGTTTTATTTTTTTAACCCAAACTAACAAGAGAATTTTTGAATTTTATTGGATAAGATGGGGCCTTAGGGCCCGACCAGATGAAAAATAGGCCCTGCAGTTCATAACGACCATTTGACTCGAAATACCAAGTGTGAGGTACCAAATTATTCGTAGAAAAAATCTTTTTGCAAATGTCCTAATGAGCCACCCTTGTTCCATTTGAAGAAATTGAGATATGATTAAAAATACGATATGACCATCTTTTAACCGTCCAGGACAAGATGCGAAATACATTAGACGATCAAATCTATTTTTCTAAAGCTCCTTGATTAAAAATTAGTGTTTTTAACACAATCATGATTGTGTTAAAAACAAATAATTAGTAAGTTTATGTCGTATACTAACATACCAAATCTCGTTTTTTTTTCTGCAAAAATTTAAAAAATATAGGGGTGAGCCACTTTTGAGACGCTCCCGGTATATTCACCGAGTGGCCAACTAAGAATGGACGCCGGCTGCATCTCTGAAACCATTTATAGTATTAACTAACAAGGGCTTGTTTAAAAGCCTCTTAAAAGATTTTGCCGTGGTTGCTAAAGGGGGTTTTGCAAAACAGTTAGTTTGGCAAAACAGGCATTTTAGGCGCCGGCGTCAAATTTTTAAAAAACATATTTTATATATCACGTAGATAATTTTATATATCACGTAGTTAAATAGAGCACAAAATTCTCTAAAACTTAGCTCTAACCGAAACTTTCTGTCTTCTCTTTAACGGGACATATTAAAAGGAGAAATGGTTAGACTGCCGCCTATAATAGTTTAAACAAAAATTATACTAGAAGGATTTAAAACAAAAAATGGAAATACGTTACGTCAAAATATCAAAAAAATAGTTTCGCGTTAGGTTAAGTTAGGTTGTAATTGGTAAATTTTTATGGTGCGTTTAGACTTGAGCACGCACGAGCTGAGCGTGCGCGCACGGCATTCGTTCGCGCTCTCGGCTCCGTTTAAATTAAAAGCTTACTTTTCGACGAATGAAGTGATCCATTTGTGCGCGCACAGCAGAGTTGTGTTGGCGAAAATAATAGACGACCAAGAAATAGTCGAGGCTGAAGTCATTGTGTTATGCACAGCTTAATTATTAAAAAGGAGAAAAATCGAAAACATCGTCGCTGGTGGCAAACCCAAATTTTTAGAAATCGATATAATTTACTGCAACAATTTAGTGTCTGAGGAGGGCTATGATCAGTTCAAAAACTTTACCAGGCCCGACTTTAAATATTTACAAAGTTTAATAACACCAAAATAAACCAAAAATTACGAACAAAAGATACAAATGTTAGAATAATAGAAAGAATAGCAATTTCATTAATATCGACATATTCAATACTAATTTTATTTACAAAGTTTTGCCATGCGTTATATTTTTTATGATTTTTTAATAATACAAAGAATGTTTAACATCCCATAATATAGGCAAGTTTTCATATTTTTCAATTAATAATAACGAAGATTCATTGATCCACTCCATAATTTTAATAAAGAAAACGAAAAAAAATCACACACGAACGCAGGAAAGCAGACAAAACAAATTGCCGGTCCAAATTGAGCGTTCGCGCACACATAAAATCCCTTTGAGCACGGACCAAAAACCGACACCAGACGGCTCACGTTCGCGGCTGCTCGCGCACAGACAGATTCAGAGTGAGCGTGCGCTCACAGCCGTTTACACTTGAGCATTCGCGGAGGATCAGTGCGTGCGTGCTCAAGTCTAAACGCACCATTAGGTAAATTAGTTGTTGTTAGGTAATGTAATTTAGTTCTCATTTATTGAATTTTTTTGTTGACTTTGTTGTTAGCGTTTTCCTTTTTGTTTGAGTTTATTGTTTGGATTAAGTTTGAATTTTTTGATTTTTTAGTTTATTGTCAAAAATAATATTTGCAAGTAATGTCTAGAAATGATATCAACACGAATTAGAGACAGTTTGGTAAATCATTTTCCATTGTCAAGTTTATACTTTTTGCCTCTAAACTATATAATATAATTCCAGCAGAATTCATTCAAATTCCAAACTATAAACTTTTTTACTTATATTAATATCAATAACACTCCACCTGTGTTAGATGTTCTATATTATTTGCCTAAAAATAGCTACATACCTGCCCGGTAACTGTAAACAAAATGACTAGAAGAAGTCTAAGCGGCCACTTTGCTTTGTAGGCTCTATGTGACCACAGTCTGTGAGCTCCAGCTGTTATGCCAAATCCAGTAACGAATACTGTAAAAAATGCTAAAAAATAATGATAATAATAAGTTATAATTTAAAAGATAGTGCTCAACTAACAAAAATATATGACTATATAACTTATATTGACTTTGCAGGAAAATATTGCTATATATATATATATATATATATATATATATATATATATATATATATATATATATATATATATATATATATATATATATATATATATATATATTAGTATACAGGGTGGTGACAATTTCGATGCTCAACATTGGCATCTCAGAAACTACGAGAGATACGAATTCGGTTAAATGGGACGAAAGTTGCGTAATTAGAAGTTTGACAAACACCTATGAAGAAACCCGGGTATCTTGATTAGTTTCGGATTTATGTGATGTAATGAAATAGTACGTTTATTTTAAATGGCAATATCTTCAGTACTATTGTACCTATTGCAACGAAAGTTGGTAGTTTTATATTTTTGACTTCGGCCAATTAAATGCCGTTTTCAGAAACTTTATAGGCCTTCTAGATTTCGCACAACAGTCAAGTTTTTGTTTTCTTATGGCCGCCATTTTGAATTTTTGAAAAAGGGCTCTCTTGAACAGTTTCCCGAAACCATTTGCAAAATTGTAAATTTATCTCGTGATCACCAGCATGTAAAAAATGTAAATTTGGTACATATTGATATTTAAGGTTGTGATATTTATGTTTTTTGATAATTTTCCCTACATAAGTATCACTTATACAACACGCGCGACTTATTTTACGGCTAGAAGTTTCCGGATTTATTTTAATCTGAGCTGGCACATTAATATCATTAGCCTTTTACTAGGCTTAATGATATAAATATTGCCCTCTTGTTTTTTAAAGTTGTTTACCAGCAACTACTAAATTTCTTGGAATCTTTGCGAAAATAGTACGATGAGGCTGTGTCATTTGAGGATACAATGTTCTATAACTTGCGCTTGCTATATCGGAATTTCTATTACTTTTTAAGTAAACATCAGACATATCTCGTGTTTCCTCACTTGTGAACCTATTGTTGACTGTTAATACACTTTACACTATCTACTATAAATGTTTGTGTCCAGATTTGACACTTAATAGAGTAAACAAAAAATTAACTTTTGCTGTCATATAAAGTGTCAATTGGATTTCCAAGGTAGACTGGATCATTAGAGCGAATTTTTAAAAAATCTCATTTCTTAGTGAATTTACATAATAATAATAAATAAAAGTTAGATACCAACGTATAGATTATTTTTTGCTCTATCTAATATTATAAAAATTCAAAATAGCGGCCATAAGAAAACAAAAACTTGACTGTTGTTGTGCGAGATCTAGAAGAAGATTTAGAATTTTTTTGAAAACGGCATTTAATTGGCCTAGGTGAAAAATATAAAACTACCAACTTACGTTGCAATAGATATAATAGTTCTGAAGATACTGTCATTTAAAATAATACGTTTATTATTTTCATTTTTTTGACATAAATACGAAACTAGTAAGATACCGGGGTTTTCTTAATAAATGTTTGTCAAACTTCAAATTACGCAACTTTTGTCCCATTTAACCGAATTCGTATCTCTCGAAGTTTCTGAGATGCCAGTGTTGAGCATCGAAATTGTCACCACCCTATATACAACATGCAACAGTGAATCGGGAATCTGTAGCTCCTATAATATATTATCTGTAGCTCCTATAAACATTAAATTTTAATTGTTTTTTATTATTTTATTTTTATTGTTATATTATTACCTTCATTGTGTAAATGTTTTTCTTTAGTGGATAATGTATGTAATATTTTCAACTAAATGTTTAATTATTAATTCATTTATTGAAGTATTTTGTTAAAGTTATAAAACTAAAATTAATTATGATTAAATTTGGTTTTCTGTTTATTATATTTATAATTAATTATGTGTCTATGATGTTGATGTATAGATGCAATATTCTTGTTAGGTGAGAAAGATTATTTAAGCGCGTGTGTGTACATGTATATGTGCTTTAGTGCGTTTGTTTGTGTACACATGCATAAAATACCACGTACAAATCTGCATTAAGCAGATTTCAGTGGTCGCGCACCCAGTTTATTTTGTAGTTTTTAGATGTGTTTATATGTAAATTTTATTGTATACCTATTATTTCTTGCAAAATAAACTTATATTAGGTAGGTACGTACGTGAGGTATGTACCTAGATATATTTCAGAAAAAAATTCTAATTTCTACAGGCTGGCTCAAAAAGGTGTTCTTATGGTATCAAAGGTGTTGTATCTTTAAGTTGGAGAACGTTTGTCTCAGATTGCTGTAGTATGTTGATTGTTGAATGTTGAAATTTTAGTAATTTACACTTTTCTTCTTAAAAATGAAATAATTTATTCTATATATAAAAGTAAAACTTTGATAAGATAAATAGGTTAAAAGAAAAATTAAAGACTGCCGACTGTGAACTGTCTACTAAAAACTGCGAAAAGACACTGTGTGTTGGAGCTTGAAACTGAATCAATGTCCTGAATGATGAGGACCGTTGTTCAGTTTCTTAAATAGTTTCTAAGATTACAAATAGACAGAGGCATACAATACAAGTTTAATATCCTTAAAATTAATGTTTAGAGTAGCAGCACCCTGAATTTTATGTACGGTGGTAGCAGCCTCGAGAAAAAGGTTACCAGAGTCTGTAAGCTAAAATGTTTGAGTATACTCGGGACATAGGTATTATGTCCCAGATAGGTATTCTCCATCGACTGATAATAATTGAAGGATCGCATTTTTGGCTTCCTTTCTAATCACTTCACATAACTCTAAAGATACGAGTACATATTATAAAATAATAAATATATTTTACAGGCTTTCCGAAAAATACTTATACAGGGTGTCCCAGAAATAAGTGCAAGTATTTTAAGGGGTGGTACATCTCGATAAAAGAAACATATTTTCTCTTTATTGTTTTTCAACTAAGTCCAAAATAATGAAGTTATTTTACTTTGAAAATTTCCAAAAAAAATATTTTTTGCTAAATTTTAAGAACCACTCTATCTTTTCTGGATTTTCTTTCTTGTAAATTGAAGCTAATACCTATGTTTCCATATTATCAAGAAATTATGTTTTTTAACTAAAAAAATTTTTATAAAATTAAAAATAAAAAATTCGAATGTAAAAAAAAATTGCGAAATAAACCTCATAGGCGTGTTTCTGGGGTTCAACTATACTACCAGTTAAAATACTTGCACTTATTTCTGGGACACGCTATATATGTATATAAAAGTAAAACTTTACATAAAACGTACATACTTTACGTATGCACTTAAACAACATTCCTAAGTTCTTTTTATAGGATGTATCAAGACCCTGTAGGGTTTCATTTCAATATGAAAGAATAATATTAGATTAAAAAAAAATAGTGAACATTATACCATATGATCGAATAAAAACGGCGTCAGCGATGGCTATGAAATGAAGATCGCTGTCATTTTATATGTAAATTTATATGGGAAATGTAATTGAGTGTCATTTCATAGCCATCGTTGACGCCGTTTTTATTCGATCATATGGTACTATCATCATCAATAAGTAGACAGGATACATGACTATTATAAATTTTTAAATACTAATTATGATATTTGAGTGCCCTCTAAGCCCTGTATGAGCGATTTACGCGCTCTTAGCGTTTAGGGTTTATCAATTTAATTGGCATTTATTAAAAAAACTTACCAAATAACGTTGTATAAATCTTAGCCGACCAAATACACAAAAATAATCCATACAAACAACCTAAGTGTATATAAGTTTGTACTATTAAATCTGGCCATTTTATGCAAGGTACATATTCTTCAATTTCTCTTCTTAGTTTACTATTTTCTTTGGTTTCGTCATTTAACTGTTTAATAGTTCGAATTATGTCATTATCTTTTTCAGTAAATATATAATTTGGACTGTCATATTTCTGGATTTTTCTTTGCCTACTATCATTTTTGCATTGAAAGCTGTGGTTTCCATTTAAACATTGAACTAACAGATCATCAGAAGAACTCTCAATCCCTGGTGTTGTTGGGCACATTACAAATGTCATAGAGTAATTTTTATGGCACTATATAAATCCTTAGTTTAGATATCTGAAAAAAAAGCAATCATGAGTAAATATTGAGATTTATACAGGGTCCGGCAATAGTGCGTCGGGCATCTGTAGCTCCTAGAATAAAAAAAATTGGGAATTTTGTTTAAGTGCAAGCCCACAGTTGGAACACACTGTATATTATTGCATTTTTGGCTTTGTTTCAGATCACTTTACATAATCCTAAATGATATATGAGTATAGATATTTCGATAGTTTCGGAGATATTAATAAAATAATAGCTCCCGTATATAGCGTTTAACGCCTTGGGAGTAGCAAGGTACAGCTTGCCATACTAGAGCCATTCGGTATACAAGGAAGGTAATGTGGCTAGCACTACGCTTCAACCGCCTATTATTACCTCAGGATTGTGAATCCCAAGTACTCATTTAAGACTGAGTCGACCTAGGTACCCAAACTATTTTTATTTTAATAAAAATAGTCGGCTGATGCAATGCCGGGTGTGGGATTCGAATCCACTACCTTGAGATTGGTAGACGAGAGCCTGTACCTCTACGCCACCGGACACCTTTCGGAGATATTAATAAATAAATAAAAATATATATTTTTCAGCGTCTTAAAAAAATATTTAAAATACAAGAACTGTCCTGAAATCAAAACTATATTAGGCATTTACTTTAGATGTTCTATACTTACTTTGCTACAAATATAGTGATCTTAAATTATACAGGGTGTTCAAAATTCCTCTTCAAACTTTCTAAAGTATAAAATAAATATATTTTTTTATTGTTTTTTTTAAAAGAACACCCTGTATATTATTTTTTTAATAGATAGATAATTAAAAAATAATCATTTTCTGCATTTAGATTATTCCAAATTTTTAACGGTTTCGCAGATATTTGCTGTTTTATATTTCATATGGCATTTTCCACAGTAAACTTATTTTATCGAGACTTATCAAAACCACCCAATAATTTTTCTCTCGTATTTTACCGTTGAAATAAAACCGGAAGTATCTGCAAGTCATTATAAATTTTGAAATACTCTAAATACAAAAAATGTTTATTTTTTAATGTACCATTTAAAAAAAACAAGGAAAATTATTTTATATTTTAGAAAGTTTAGCGTAGAACTTTAAACAACCTGTATGATTTAAAACAGCGTACACACTATGCCAGAAACAACCCGAAACATGTTAAGGTCGCATTTCGTCACACAACTTTGTCGCATTTCGATTTATTTCTAGTTGTCTTGACCCACTTCGGTTTGCCTCGACCTACTTTCGATTCTTAAAAGCGCCTGAGATCTACCCGTGAGGAGAGCAGGGGGGATTTTTTTGGCGTTTTTTGTCGCCTCGTTTAATTTTGTTTTGTTTTAAGCTACTTCCAAAACGTGACGGTATCTGTTCCGAGTCAAAGGGTTTTTTTCTCATAAATCTCAGTGAAATAAGTAAACCTAGACGTTTCTAAAAGAGCTGTTGTTACGATGATATTTCGTTAATTACATCTCGTTTTATGTTATATTGATATATATTCCACAGAATTAATATTTGAACACGCGTTTATTATATGCATAGTAGATATTTAAGAACAAAACTTTTCACTTAAACTGCAGGAATAAAATTACAATATTTTTATGATTTAATTTTATTATAATGAATTAGTATATAAAATTATTGTATATGATATGTTTGTTTACGGTCTTAATCTATACTAATATATAAAGTCCTTAAGTGACCGACATACTGATTAATCACGCGATCCTGCTCAAACCACTAAACGTAGGAAGCTCAATTTTGGCATACAGGTTGATTCTAGGGTGTAGATGTTCGATAAGGAGGGATTTTTCGAAATTCCAGTTTCAAGAGGGTGAAACCACCCCTCAAATATTACATTATTTTTTTAATTAAAAAACGGTCAAGTTTCCGAAAAAACGCTTAAACACGTATATTTTATTTTGTTTTTTTACATATTTTAAGATTTTTTAAAAATGTATACAGGGTGTTTCGAAAAATCATTGATTAATCACGATCCTGCTTAAAGCGCTTGACGTAAAAACCTGATTTTTGGAAAACAGATTGACTTTAGGATGTAGAGGTTCGATAAGAAGGGATTTTTCGAAACTCGAATTCTAAGGGGGTGAAACTATCCCTCAAATATTAAAATATTTTTTATTTAAAAACCGGTGAGTTTTTCGGAAAAACTCTTAAATACGTATATTTTATTTTGTTGTTTTACATATTTTAAGATTTTTTATAAATTTATACAGGGTGTTTCATAAAATATGACCATTGAGTAATCACGATTCTGCTTAAACTGCTTGACGTTTAAAGCTGATTTTTGGCAAACGGATTGACTGTGGGGTATCGAACGTCTAGTTCGATAAGGAGGGGTTTCTCGAATCTCAAATTTCAAGAGGGTGAAAACGCCCCTCAAATATTACAATATTTGTTATTTAAAAAACGGTTAGTCTTTCGGGAAAACACTTGGACAACCATAATTTATTTGTTTTTTTTACATATTTTGAAATTTTTTAAAAAATCATACAGGGTGTTCCAAAAAGTTGGGTAATTTCTTAACCACGATTCTGCTTAAACTGCTTGACGTAAAAAACTTATTTTTGGCAAACGGATTTTTCGAAAGTCAAATTCCAACGAGATGAAACTACCTCTCAAATATTACCAAGTTATATAATAATATCGCCAAATTGTTTTTTCTCATGCTGACATAAATGTGAGAAAATTTTATCAAGTTTATATGTTAATGGAAATTCTTGCTTTGCTTTATCATCACCATTACAAATGGTTAATTCGACGTGAACGAAGTCGCTGGTAAACGCTAATTGATTAATATAACAGTAGTATTGCTTGATGAGTAATACTGGTAACATTATCAATATATCCGCTTGTGAAAATTATTACATAATTGAGCCGATGTCAACAAAAGTATGGTCCACGCAGATTATTTAAAAGCAATGTTCTTTTATTGTTCTTAAGAAAAATCTCCAAGCGATACTTTTATTAGAACCCAGGATGGTTTGATATAAATCCATTCAACTAGTATTTTAACAAACAAAACCAAATAAGAAAACTAAACTTTGCTACAGCCAGCAGTTTAAATGTTACTTACTTAAATGTTAACTGTTACTAGAAATAATAAATAATTAGAAGATATTTTAAATAATTTTGTGTATATTTTGTTTTTAATTTTTCGTTCTCGATTATGAGGCGCAATACCGTGGATTATAGGCCCCTAAATGGTAGAGCGCTAGTTAGTTACAGTTTTCATATCAGTTTCTCCATGTTTACTTATTTTTCTGAAGCCAAAACAACGTTTGACCTTGATTGCCTCGTGCTATTTCACAAAATAGCACGATAAATATAAGTCCGTGTTATAAAAATTAGTTCCCACGTTTCCTGAAATTGATCGCGACGCGCCGTGATTGGTTGCTCGTTTTTTATTGTTAATCTGGGTTAACGATAAAAAACAAACAACCAATCACGGCGGGTCTCGATCAATTTCAGGAAACGTGGTAACTAATGTTCTGCGAAATGTTTCACGAAATTCCAGAAATATTTCGTAAAACATTTCGGGGATAGTGTAGCGGCTGTTTTTATAGCAAAGTAAGTACAGGCCATCTGAGGTAAATACCAGAAATCAATACTATAATAATATAATATAGTATTGATTTCCGGACAGTTCTTGTATTTTCAATATTTTTTTTAATAGAGACTGAAAAAATATTTTTTTATTTATTTATTAATATCTCTGAAACTATTTAAACAAATCTAAAAATATCCTATGACAATGTAAAGTGATCAGAAAGGAAGTCAAAAATGCAATAATATACAGGGTGTTCCATTAAAAAAAATCATCCATATCCACTCATATTTTTTGAGCCCCCCTGTAGAGGTTATATTATTTTCCTAAAATACATCCCAATACATACTTTAGGTTTGCACTTAAACAACATTCCTAAGTTTTTTATGTTAGGAGCCCACTATTGCCGGATCCTGTATGTTAAAGTAGTTTTAAACTAAATTTTTCAATCCTATTTATTTCAACTCTTCTAAACATATATGGAACCAATTTGCTACATTCTGTGTGGGTTGCATATCTATAGATACGTATCGCTAATCATTTATATATGTATTTTAATAAATATAGTAAGAAATTCAAACCTTACTGACTAAACTTACTAATCATATTAACGATAAAATACTAAATATAATTAGCAATGTAAATAGAATTATCTGTGTTCTTGATTTTGAATATATTTAGAAGTTTAAAACCACGAACCAGCCTATCTTTATATAAATATTAAAATGCCTACCAAAAAAAACTCGACGATTCAACTCGTGTGTAGGTAATGAAGAAAAGAGTTACTTTCAAGGAAAATTGTAATAATAATTATCTGGTTTTAATTAGAAAATCGCTAGTTATAAAATTAGATTTGTGGTTCAAGTAATAAAAGCTTGAATATAAAACTTGATGAGTAAGTGCCATATCGTTAATAAACTATGATATAATAGCTAGGTTACACGTCTATAAATAATTAGTTTCTCAGAAGTAATATTGCACTCCTTATATACACGGTTTAGTGTCACAGATACAGTTCGCATCATATAGAACTTTTTATATTTATTGACTTAGGTAACATTTGACTTGCGCGATAGTCTCTACTTTGATCATGACTGGGAAACTTAAATGGAAACGACAGTTCATTAAGCTTCATTCAGAACCTCCCAATTAGTGGTTTCAATTACACTTTATACTTTTTAGTTTACGATCATTCATAATGTCTTAAAAACTCAATTAAAATTAATAAAATATCCTAGCAACAGCTTGCGGTAGTCTGTTGTAGGTATCCACAGAGAAAGCATAATATTTAGCTTATAAAACAATAAACTTTTGATTTCTAACCAAAATTTTTCTTAACGGGTGATAATCAAAGGCTAAAATGACATTTCTCGCAAATTTTGAAGTATAATTAGTGGAAAAATCAAAAGTTTGTTAACTTTTTCCACTAATTGACAATTAC